AAGAGTGCTCTAAAAGATAAGAAAAATGCCATTTGGTTGAATGAAAACTTCAGTAACCTCAACAGCTTAGTAATGCCGTTGAAGAAACAAATCAGGTCTCTTCTAAATTGAAGTTAACATACTAAAAACTCTGACACATCACACTATACTAAGGGAATTTAAAATATTTGTACATCTGATCAGTTGATGACACTTCCATTCTCAGAAATATTTGGTAAAAATCAACTAGACTTTAGCCTTGACATAAATTAAAATGTATCTTTACAAATGTATCTTTCATCAAAGTGAACTACAGTTAACTGCTTGCATTCATCTAAAAAATACATCTTTGACTCAAGCCCCTGACCAACATTATTTTTGTTTTCATTGCTGCTAACTTTTGAGGAATCATTCCAGAGATACTAGCAGTATCAGCTTTACTAGTGGAGACAAAGCACCACCATTAACAACTGTTCTGGATAAGAGCAAACTCTGAAACAAAATATTTTAGCCAGTGAAGTGCCTGTAAAGCAATATAAACAAGCAGTTTATAAGTCTAAGTGTCTGGTCTTATATGGCCAAACACAAAAGAATCTGAAAAACAAACATTACTTCTACAAGTTCTTAGAAGAGTTATTTAGACTGTGGCATTTCAGCACTGACATTAAGGTTTTGTTTCCTAGTTTTCTCCCATGCTTCACAACTGAGCCAGTGAATGCTGCTATGAAATTTTCAATGAACATACTCATGATCAGACACCACTCATCTTAAGGGTCTTCGGTGGATGTTTTCTTAGACACACTGGAAGCCAGCACAGCAGAAGTTGTGCTTACTGGCTTTAGATACTCTTTGAATCAAAAGACCACTCTTTGGGGAAAAAAAAGCAACTTAAAAAGTAAAAGAAAAGAGTTGTTCTGACCTAAGCAACATGAAGTTTCTTCTGTCTCTTCATTGGTGACTAAACGACCAGCAATCCAAGAACAAATTGAACTTATTTCATCCTAAAATAACAAGGAAACTAGTCCTTTCTTCTCCACAGCAAGTCACCAAGCAATTTCTTCCCCCTCCATTCATCTGGACATGCATGCCAATATCTGTTTTTTCTGCTTATTCCAGTGGGCAGTACTGCTTCATAAACTGTTCTGCTCTCCCAAGTGAAGTTTCAAACTGCTTGTCGGCAAAGTAGAGGAATGATTACCTTGAGAAAGTGATGATGATGATCCTGAAGAGCACATATCTTTTACACGACCCGTATCAGGAGCTTAATTAGTCCCTGAACTACCTGGAAATTATCCAATTAATTATGCAGTATGTAAATCGAGTTGGTAATCACACCAAAGCCATTTCAAAAAAAGAAAGTATTAGGAAGCTCTAGTAGCAGAGAATTTGCCTAGAAGGCTGCAAGTTGTTCAAAATGCAGCTAGTGCTCTTGACATTGGCACCTCCTGTTTTTGAGGGTAATACTGGACACCTAGGTACAGCTTCCAGGTTGAACTGAGGCAGAGAAAGTTGCCAGGGAAAATGCTGAAGACACCATCCAGGAAAATGAATCCCTTTCAAAGACTTTTTGAATATGAAAGAACACCTGCTGTTAAGAAAAAAGTTTGCACATGTTCAAGTCTATCGGGATATGTGTCCTCTGAGCTAGTAAAATGTGCCCATTAAAAGTTAGGAGCTAGCATGGTCTTAAGTTACATCAACTGCAGAAGGAAAACCACCAACGTAATCTAGCTCAGTCATGCTCCAGAAAGTTGCAGATGAAAAGGAGATGTTTACAGTATTCTGAGTAGAATGATTTAATTTCCCACTTCTGACTTGGTCATATAATCCTTATCAAAAAAGAACATTTCTACTTCACAATACATAAGCTTTCAGTAAATTCAATGCAGAAAAACCATCATCCCATTTCTGAACTGCAGATAGCAAGAAATTCTTCTGATTTATCATGAATCCCAAAGGCACATCTTTGTCAAGCAAAAGCCACATGAAGAAAATCCTTATTTTAAACACATAAGCATTGTACAAACTACTAAAGGAAGCGTTAACAAGTATTGGAAAGGACAGCCAACTAACAAAAAGCCAGAAAAAGTGCTACAAAGCAGTTGTTTTCCAAGATTCAAAATTCCAACAGAGATCCAAAACTCATGTAACACATTGCCTCTTCACAACTGAGGCAGAAACTCTGGATGCCAACTTGTTTTGTACCAACAACTGCATGCCTCAAAACTGGATTGTTTTTTTGTGTAATTTTGATGAAGTCAAGCTCCAGGGTACCTCTTCAGAAAAGCAGAGTTGTTAAGGAAAAGAATAAACTAGAGTAAGCTTGTATTTTAGATGCTGTTTAACTTAAATAGCTCTCCAGTTTTATTTAAAACAAACTTCAAAAGTTTCAGACTGTACACTAGCATGTGTGCCAATAGCAGACACTAAAATAGCAATACATTAACTATTACCTTCTCACTAATAGAAAACATTTCCTGTGCAGATAAGCTGTTTTCTCCTAGATAAGATTCAGCAGTAGAGAACAGGTAAAGGGGAAGAAGAGGGGGGGAAAGAATCTGTGTAAACACTTAGAAGATTAAAAGAAAAGGCATACCTTGAGATACAAGTGGGGCTTGGTAGATGACTGAGGATTGTAGAGGTAGCTGCGAAAAGCAAGTGATAATAGCTTTCAAAAGATGGTACCCCTTCTATGTTAACCTGCCTGCAAGGAAATAGTGGAATACCTGCGGTATGCAAAGGGAAGTAAGCCTGGTCTACATAAAAGAGAGGGTGAGAAACATTTCAGTGAAGTGCCAAAAACAAGCACTTGTGTAGCAACTGAAGAATTTGGGCATCAAGCTATAACATGCCCTAACTCAATGCTGATATTACCAAACACTGAAAATGCAGTCCAGATGAAATTTCTTCATTATTCATCTGAAAGTTTCAATGTTTAAAGCACTAACTTTTGATTTATTCTGTGGTAAGTGGCAGTTACCATCTCTAGACATAACAATCAAACTTACAAGCTGAATAAAAAGTATTCCCTTACATGCCAGGCTCAAAGTATTTTGATCAGCAGCACAAAGTCCAGCTCGAGGTCAGCAGCTAGTGGTCTATCCCAAGAGCTGATAGTAGGGCCAATACTAGTTAACATCTTCGTCAAAGATCTGGAAGATGGGAGAGTGACCCTCTGCACAATTGCGGATGATACAAAATTGGAAGGAATGGCTGATACATAAGATGGTGATACATAAAGAGGGACCTCATCAGACTGGAGAAAAGGGCTGACAGGAATCTCACAAAGTTTGAAAAAAGGAAATGCTAAACTCTTACCTTGGGAAGGAATAATCCCACACACCAGTACACACTGGGCACTGACAAGCTGGAAAGCAGTTTGGCATAAAATCACCAGGGATTCCCAGTGAACTTGAACATGAGCCAGCATCATGCCTCTGCATCAAGGAAGGCCAACAGAATGCTGGGCTACATTAGGAAGAGTATCTCTAGCAGGTCAAAGGAGGTTATCATTTCCCCTCTACTCAGCACTGGTGAGGCCACACATGGAGTGCTGGGCCCAGATCTGAGCTCCCCAGCAATAGAGACATGGACATACAGAAGTGAGTCCAATGAAGGTCCATGAAGGTAAATAAGGGACTGAAACATTTGTCATACAAGTAAATGATGACAGAGCTAGGGCTGTTTAATATCAAGAAGAGAGCACTCAGGAAGGATCTTATAGATAGGTCTAAGTAATAAGATGATGTAAAGAAGATAGAGCCAGACTCTTATTACTGGTGCCTAGTAAAAGATCAAGCAGCAATGGGCATAAGCTGAAATACAGAAAACACCATTAAAATTTAAGAAAACACTTTTTTTACTGGAACAAGTTGGCCAGAACGGTTGGGGAGTCTCCATTCTTGGAGATACTCAAAACCCAGACTGGACAAAGCCTTGAGCAACCTGCTGTAGCTGACCCTGTTTTGGGCAGGAGAGTTGGACTAAGTGACTTCCAGAGGCCACTTCCAACCTCAACTGTTTTGCAATTCTGCAAAATACTTGAACAATCTCAAAGCAGAAACTAAAGTAAATACATCTTGTGTCATGCCCAAAGTGTCAAGGAAGTGCTGATGGCCCTAGATTCCAAACAACTGTGATAGAAGGACTGAGAGAAGAAAAACATAAGAAAATAAGAAAACAGCTCATTATTTTACCATAGGCAACCTACAACCCACAACTTGCATTAAAGCTCATGTGAGGCAGCTCTTTTGACTAATAGTTTTAATAATCAAGATCAAGGGAATATTTTTCTACACAGAGGCACTGAGGCTGTAAGAAAAACTGAGGATTTTTCTCCCCCTTGTACTATAATGGATACATTAGCTAAAATACTTCAGGCTAGTTGAGTAACATACAGTTTCCTTGCACATTCACCTTCCTGCACATTCAAGCACACATTTAATATTTTGGTTAAAATTCTTGTACACATGCCTGTAATTAATTTTCTGTTCTCTATCTTTAAAATGTATTACAGGAAGTTAAAAGCATAATCACATCTGTTCTAATAATTCAAAATCAAGACAACTAAACAAGTCTAGACATGTCAGTATTATTTTTTCAGACTGAAAAACTAGCTTACAGATACACGACCTACATGAAGTTTCTATTTTTAGGACAGGAAGTTAAATGGCCTAAAGATCTGCAAATACCCCACTGGTTAGGCACCAGGAGTCTCAAATACAGCTTAAGGAGTCACACATCTGGCATTCTCCCTTCAACTTATTCCTAGGCATCTGTATGCTGTGGAAGGGCTCTTATATTCAGAGATACATCTCAAACATCAAATCCTTTCCCACCCATTCTTGTCCCCACACTTCTGACATGGCAGATAAGTACTTTTATGATTACATGAAGTTTAGCACATGCTATATGATGGTTATCTTCAGAGGTTTTTAGATTGACAGCACAGCGCAAATGATCTACACTTCCGATTTGATCGCTTTCTCATGAAAAAGTCGCTCCATTTAGTTGGCTCATACCTGATTACTGGCGGCCATTATCAAGGTTCTCGTAGGCGCAGATTGAGGTTTACCACTTGGCATAGGCAATGCGGGTGGTAAACTGGCCATAAGCTGAGTCGGTGCTTGCAGACTGAACTGGTAAACATTAGGAGCTGTGCAAGGTGGTGTATCAGAATCCTTTTGGCAGAGAAAAAGGGGAAAAGAAAAGCAACTTTACAGAAAGTACAGTATATACAGGCTACGCATGTGAAAATGCACCCAAATATCAACTCGTGAATACTTTAAAATTTAATGATTTTTTTCAATGGTAAAAAATAAAATACAAGCCAGCACTATGTTTATTTTACACATCTAGCAAAAGTTTAATTGAACCTGCATCAAGGAGACAATGTGAACATGTCTACGGCAATCACAGGTCAGTTCCAGTCAGCGCAATCTAAAGCCAAAGTTATATCTCTATCAAGTTCAAATTAAAAGATGGGAACTAAGGTTGGGAAAAAAACGGAACAAGAACAGCGACACTGTTAGTGATACAAGTGCTCACATTTTAGGTGTCATGACAATCAGCCCTCTGAACAGTGTTCTGGATTGTACTTATCTGTACGGCAAAGTTACTCACTGTAATTGTTATAGTCTTCTCCCATTCTACCCAGCAACAGCAAAGTTAGGGCTCCACCTACCAAGAAACAAGGAGACGGTCTGCCAGTCAAGACTAGTATATGCACACCAGTCACCCACTTCACTGCTAGTTAGGAGTTCTGTTCCCCTCACTTTCCCTTGGAAAACTGAATGATAATTCTTCAGGGGAAGCAAGATGGATGTAGGATTACAGAAAAAGATACTTAATGGAACTGATATTACCAATTACTATTCCTCCTCCTTCCAGCCTGATCAACAGCAATTACAGATGCACCAGAAGCAATCATACAGGTGATGTTAAAACTGTGTGCCTGGAGCACTTAAACAAGCAGCAAGGAGGCAAGCACAGATGCAGGGGTTTATAGTAATTACTGAAGTCTAAAAACACACAATTGACCGCCTCAATTCTTAAATGACCAATTATTTTCTAAGTTGAGAAAGTTGAAAAGCAAGCTATAGCCTTTTGAAACAACTTTGAACACAGATCTTGTAAAACTTATTTTTCAGCCATAACACAATGCTAACAGATAAGTACCTTTCCCTA